TGTGTGTGTGTGTGTGTGTGTGTGTGTGTGTGTGTGTGTGTGTGCTTACAATACAGTTGAGGTAGGAGAGTAAAAATTCATATGCCAGATATTGCTGCAGGTTGGCAGGTTAACAGTATGGGGACAACAATGTATTGCAGATATGATTTTCATTTCATGTCAATATAACAGCAGACAATATGCTGGAGGCTCCTGACCACGCACTCACAAATAAGTGCTTCATTATGTTGTGAATGAATGCAGCATTAGATTAGAGAGAGAGGAAGAGGTGACAAAAGGATGAAGAGAGGAAATGAGAAACAGGCATGGAAAAGACTAACTGTTCGTCGTCCTTGTGGCTGAGTAAATACTTCCTTTCGGCCCTAATGTTTGATTGGAGAAGGGGGTCCCATGTTTTGTGCCGCCCACAGGTTCACCCTGTACTGAAGTGAACTTGAGAGACGCTCTGGATCTCTGCCAGCTGCAGGGAGAGTTGCTGCTGACAGCAAACTCAGACCTGCTGGTGGAGGTCTTCAGATGAAATACAAAACTTCCACCTTGGAAATAAAAATAACAGCCCATCTGTGGCTCAGTTCAACTGTCGTCCTTGGAAAAAAAAATGAACATACGGACGGACTGTTCATGAGCATTTGCAACAATATGTGTCCCACTTGGGACAAAGTGTGATATGAAAGGTGATGAAACGAGAGAGGTTTGCATATATTTAAACATCACAACATCCCATAATACAATCAATCCCTCACATAAAATGTTCAGATCTGCAGAGAAATAATCTAAAGGATTATAGTATTATGACCACAAAAGATATCTGTAAAGAGTAATCAATCAATCATCAGTGATGTGGAGACCATTACTCTCAGACACAGTGTCTTCTTTTATTCCAACACTAGGAGGTGCCAACCTACTTAGCAGTCCCTCATTGTGTACAGTACTGCTGTTGAACAGTGGTGGAAGAAGTATTCACATATTCTATTTAAGTATTATTGAACCGGAGACAGTGTAGAAATACACCATTACAAGGCCTGCATCCAAAAGTTCAGCGATGTAAAAGTACAGGCGTATTAAAACATCAAAATATGTAAAAAAGTATAGTAGCATAAAATAGATATACTCAAGTAAAGTACAAGTACCTCAAAATTGTACTCAAGTACAGTACTTGTGTAAATAATTAAATGACTGTTGTTAAAGGAGCCCAATCTACTCCTGTTAGTGTCTGTAAGAATTACATTTTGGTTATTCCAACAGCTCGTATACAACTGGATTCTATATGAACTTTACAAAAGTTCATGATCAAAATATACAGAAGTTTAGCAAATCCTAATATTTTGGAGGAGAATATGTAATTATGACATGTTTCGTTTCGTTTTTATCCTGAGTTAAAATATGAACCATACAGGTCATTTAAGAAGAAAAATGATTTAGTATTAAATTAGACATGCTGGAAACAGGTTTGGAATTTTATTTAATTGAATAGGCCTAACATGTAAATTAACAATATCATATTATTCTTTAAAGGTCTCAAAATACAGGAATTAGGTTGAAAACTTCTTTCCATGAAAGTTATAATTCATAATTAGCAAAACAACATCTACATCTATAAAATAAAGACATCGCTCTGTATCCTGTTTAATATTGGGCAAAAGGAATGACGTCACTTTCATTCATTTTTCCCCCAGACATGCACTAACCTTTTATCACCGTTAGATGTCACCCAGACGTTGCTGGAGATAGGACATAAACTGAGAGTCCCTGCTTCTGCGTGAGCTCAACCAAACAACCGACTGATGATGCACAGATAACAGCATTATTTCAAGGTTACTTGTGAAACCCAAAACCGAGCAGTTATGACACAAAGTTCAAGTTTCACACTTTTTTTAAACTCAAAACTCTGCTTGATGTCAACATGTTGCTCTTTAAATGACACCACTCAAAGCTGAGTAAAACAATACAATAAACTAGACTCTCATCTAGGTTTTAATTGTTTTTAATTATTGTTATTTTAAAACACAGTTTTGTCATTCAAGGTTGGGAAAAAAACATAATTAATGCGGTCACTAAAGTATAAGATTCACATTCAGCTTTCAAAGGAATTCCATGATGTCCTGTAACATACAACATGAAAACCTCAATATTAAAAAACAAAATTATACAATCATTTGTGTGTATTGTCTTCGTATTGTTACTTTGAAAAGAACTCAAGCCTCCATGGAAATACATTTCAGTACAGCGTGAAGAAAGAGAAAGACCTTTATGCAATCAGAATGTCTACATTTAAAATAGACAATGTTTTTTGACTAATATAGTGAGTCAAATATAATGACCATTCTTTACATTTGTGTCCCTCAGGATTATAACACAGGGGCACCATGTTGGAGTGTGACCCCGGCTAAAAGTCTGCATCTGGACAACCATGACCAGAAATACATTGATCTAATCAGTCAAACATGTTGGTTGTTTCTCTGAAAATGTGGCAGGAGCCAATAAACTGTTCTCCACCGGCATCGTGATGATAAGCCTTCTCTTTTTTTAATTCTTATTTCTCTCTCTCTCTCTCTCTCTCTCTCTCTCTCTCTCTCTCTCTCTCACTCACTCTTGTCCTGCCCCATCTTCTGGCCCCTCTGCGCAATCTGTGTCTCAGCCACCTTTGGCACCAGCCCGCCCACCGGCACCTGTGCCAGGCCTGGCAACCCAAACCAAGACGCTCTGCTTGGCTCAGTTCAATTGACTCGTTTAGGCAATTGCACCCTGACTCTGATCTTTATGGCGGGTTCCTTATTTATTGCAGGCCTTTGTTTGTATGCAGTTTACTGTCTTACGTTGGAAACTCTGTTTACAACATTTCTACAGGAATCTAATTGTTCCTAATGGCCTAATTCGTTTGATTGTATCATTAAAATATTCAATAAATGTCCCCACAGGGCTCATGTGGATTATTTGTTGGTTTTCCTTATCCAACAAAATCATTAGCCTATAAGTAATCCTCTAACAATCCAATATTATTTGGATGATATCATTCTAAAATTGATCATAATAGGATTGCTATAATTATTTCTCTAAGGGGATTGTTTCCCTAAACCTTCTATATAGATTAACCCCGTTTTTCCCAAAGATGGAGGCTAACAGAAGCTGTCTGAATCCACTGCGTTTTTTTGTGCCATTCACTGCTTATTCCATTTTCTCTTTCAGCTCAGTGACAGATGGCGAGTCCCTCTCCCCCAGGGGAAGCCAGTCTCTGTGAATGCGGCCGCATGTCAATCACCGGCTCACATGTGATGGCTCTTGCCAATGACGTGCCAGCCATATGGGCCTGGCATCAGAGCTGGTATGTAACCCACCCAGTCCTGCCTCTGAGGTGCCACACGGATCCCTCCACGCGTTTGGGCTGGGGATAGCAGCAGCAGCAGCAGCAGCAGCAGACAGACAGAGCAGGGCGGCAAGAGAGGAGAGAGAGAGAGAGAGAGAGAGAGAGAGAGAGAGAGAGAGAGAGAGAGAGGGGTGTGAGAGCAGAACACAGCACCTCGCCTGCACAAGCATCCGTGCACAGGGCGTGTGGATGTGATGCCCACCCGGAGCGAGATGGTGTAAACAAACCTGCTTTGCCCCGTCACTGAGCTCCACCACGGAGGTAGGTTGCACATCTCTGATCAGATATGAGAATATCAGATATGGATCAAGATTTGTTTTTCTCTTTGTGTGTTAATGCCTGTTGTATTGTGAGGGAGGAATTAGAGTGGCAGAGCATTTATCAAACAAGGGACTATTTTTTTTTCTGAGATCTCTCGCATCTTTTTCTCGCATGTGACGATTAGATAGCTTTTAATCTCTTCTTAAGGCTCCTTGTCGCCGCTCCTATAGATCTAACGACGTTTAATAAGTAGATTTTGGTTAAATAGATCAATAAATCCACATTGATCCCTAAGAGATATGAGGTAGAGATATATATTCTAGAACTGTTGTATTCATAATTTGCATCGTATTACTTTAGAAAATAAGCACTGGAGAGTAGAAAGAGTTTTAGTAGAAAATAGAAAATAGAAAAAAAAGATATGTGTGTGCATAATTGTGTGTGTGTGTGTGTGTGTGTGTGTGTGTGTGTGTGTGTGTGTGTGTGTGTCCACGACGCGCGTCAGCGCACTGTGGGGGTAGAATTCTCCATAGAGATACACAGGCTAATTGACAAGGTATTGGTTGGCATTAATTACATTGTGCTTACAAGATTAGAAAAAAAGACGTCCTTGGACTCCACACGCACAGCTGAGCTCTGAATACTGGAATAATCCATGAAGATGTTACAGCTTTTTACAAATTTTTTACTTAAATAAATAACTTGTCTGTTTAGTCTGGATTATTGACGACTCAGTGACACCATGGATAGAGGAAAATGCAGCCATTAAGAAAGCTTTTAAACGAATTATCATGATAAAATATCACAATAAAATCTCCCGTTAAATGCAGCTTTGATTAACATGAAACGAAAAGCTTCAGTGAAATTAAAAAAAGCTCAATATATAAAGCACATTCCATTGCTTTCTTTTATACATGTAACTATACTCGTCTGAACGGGCTAAAATTCAGCAAAGAGAAATATCGTGATATGGTTTCTGTCTGTGGCCTGCGGTGTCGAGGGTCCAAAATGGGCTTCATGATCCCGCAGAGGTGCTGGCCCTGAAGGCACATTTCGACATCGTTGTATACATTTGCAACGATTCATACAAAATATATATATATATTTTAATAACAGAAACTCAAGTGAGCCCTTTTGGATGCATTCAATTGAATTTAAAGCAGAATGAATGAAAAACCTGTTAATTCAAAGACATCAAATGTTTGGGACCCAGTGGTCCAGTGCGGCCTGGCTGTGCTGGAATTCCTCCAGGTTGGTAATTTATTGGACGAAGGAGGGACCCGCACCCTTAATGCGTCCCTGGGGGCTCCCTGTGCCGGACTGCTGGAGGGCACAGACCGAGGCACACGTTGAGGCCGATGGGTGGCCCAGACTGTTGCTTTATGCCATCAAAATAATCCGATTTTTTTCACTTTTTAATAAAAGACTATTCACTCTTTGTGGAATCTTTCTTCTAGCAAAATAAATGGGAAAATATCTGGATCTTGTTGTTAAGGCCCCATTTTCCAGTTCAGCCTTGTATCAATGAACTGGATTCATGTCAGGTCCGTTTCTTTTATTAATGACAATTTACGGATTAGAAATTGTAGTCTATTTCGCTATAATTGGTAGGGACATAGCAGCCTCTACGGCCTTCGTGCTTTGTCAGCGCACCTGTGTGCAGGGTGCAAAAGAGTCCAGATAAAGTGTCGACTGTGTCTCTTGCAGGTTGCTTGCCACGATGTTGAGCCGTCTGTTCAGCGAGGTCCTGCCGGACGTCCAGAGGCTCGCAGCGGACTGGGCGGAGGACAATGAGGATGAGGATGGCAAGAACAAGGACGAAGAGCACGATCTCTGTGAACTCGAGGACGACGACCTGGACGAGCCCCTGGAAGGCAGCAGTCGAGCTGAGTCTGAGATGGCCGGCGACGATGACGAGGATGATGAGGCCGAGGAAGAGGAGGGCGACGAGAACAGTGGAGACAAACCCAAGAAGCGCGGCCCAAAGAAACGCAAGATGACGGCGGCGCGCGTGCAGCGCTCCAAGGTGCGTCGAATGAAGGCAAATACGCGGGAGCGCACGCGCATGCACGACTTGAATTCGGCGCTGGACAATCTGCGCAAAGTGGTGCCATGCTACTCCAAAACCCAAAAACTCTCCAAGATAGAGACTCTGAGGCTGGCCAAGAATTATATAATGGCCCTTGGGGAGATTTTACGCAACGGGAAACGGCCAGATGTGGTGGCCTACGTGCAGATGTTGTGCAAAGGCCTGTCTCAGCCCACTACCAACCTGGTGGCAGGTTGTCTGCAGCTCAACACCAGGAACTTCCTGACCGAACCGTGTTCAGATGGAGCCCGCTTCCACGTGCCCAGCTCTCCCTTCTCCGTCCATCCGTACTCCTACCGGTGTTCCCGCATCTCCAGTCCTCACTACCAGCCCGCGACCGGTGCGCTTAACGTGCGGGGCCAATCCTACGGTTCTGGGTATGAGGCCGTGTACCCGCCGGGTGGGACGTCCCCTGACTATAACAGCCCGGACTACGAGGCCCCGCACAGTCCTCCCGTCTGCCTGAACGGCGGACTGTCCGGCAGACAGCAGGCGCCCTCTGAGGCGGACAGGAACTATCATTACTCTATGCATTACTCCGGACTGACCACATCTCGGCCCAGCCACAGCATACCTTTCGGGCCCTCGGGACCGCGCAGTGGCGGTTCGCACTCGGAAAACATCCCGCCTTTCCACGACGTGCACTTGCACCACGACAGGGCGGCTCCGTATGAGGATCTCAATGCTTTTTTCCACAACTGAGCCCTCACAATCAGACGCATTGCCCTTCTAATGACAATCCTATATAACGTGTAATATTGTTGGGGAACAAGAGAAGCGTCTGAAAGGATGAGAAATGAAGTCCTCTGATTACCTTCTGTGTTCTACTGATGTCATCCCTATACTGTTGTACTTCCTATCAACGTGTGTCCAGTAATACCCTGTATGCAGAATGAGCGCAATTGACATAAAAGATGTATAGGCCTAAACATGTTATGACATAAAGAACAGAAATAAAAAATAAAGTTTTATAACTGTCTGATATGATCGAACAATTATTCTTCTGAACATCATCACTATGGGTCTGTGTTGATATGTAGGCTTGAAGCAGTGGTTCTGGCTTTTTCATTAAACAATAACAAATAATAAAACCTCCACACAAATATAAAAAAAAAATCTCGTCTGAAATGGTATCATCGAGAGTGTTTGGCTGCAGTTAGTGATTAAAAAAATGATACTGAAAACAAAATGGATACTAGTTTCAACAGGCACGTCAAAAATGTTTTTTGATCAAATCAAGCTTAAGGGTCTGCAGATTGTGCGTCTACAATGTTTAGATCACACAAATAAAATTTGGCTAGTTTTCTGGTGAAAATATTTTATGTAAAATACCACACTGTCTATTGTGCTTAATATTTATCATAGTTTTAGCTTTACAGTTAATAATGTATAGACTAGGGGGGAAAACTAAATATTGGCATAGATTATAGTCATATAATCATTTTTAATAAATGCCTCAGCATGCAGCATCTAAAATATCTGAAGAACACTGACAGACAAAACAATCTGAAATGCTGTATCGGCTAATTAGATTAACAGCTACTCATAATTAAAGCTTAATTCAACAAAATACTTGCTCTAAAATAATCCAAGTAACAATGGATATTGGGGAGTAGAGATATAGAAATAAAATAAAATTAGCAGAGGGCACATTCAAAATGGTATAACTCTGAAAAGCCTGAGACAAAAGAATCAACACTGTATTTTTTAGGGCACTTTTTGTTTTACTCTCACACACCACTTAATTAGACTTACCATTCACAAGGACTTTATCCTGACAAATGAGATAAATGTATGTTTCCTTAGAGATCACCTCGGGGTGGAATTATTAAATTAGTGAAAATGAGATGCTATTATTCAGATCAGATGGACCTGATCTGCAAAACTGTCTGAACAGTAAATACACATGCACAACACCAACCTATGTTCATAGTTCAGCAAGCTGCCACAAAGAAATTGAGATATTTTATGTACATTTTTCTTGTTTTAACAGAAAACACACATCTAAGGCATTGATATACTCAACAAAACAACTGATGTTTTAGCAGCAACAGATTTTAAACTACAATGAGCTCTTGGAAACCAAGACAGACTCACAACCCCAATTCAAAGAAAATAGAAATCTTTACCATTAGTTTTGTGTGTTCTTTGTCTCTAAGTCTTCAGTACATTCGACAATGTAATAGACGAGTTAGTGAGTGAGCAAAAGGCCTCAGACACATGGAGCAAGAGTCAAAATGTACCGACACTTGACATCACGTACACAAATGTGAATTTTCACATGAAGGTGCTCAGCACGGGGAGAGTGGATTTGGGCCTGGTCACATCAGCATCTGTCAGACTTCCCAGGTGAGTGTAAGTTAAATAATTATCTTGGTCACACATTTAAGTAATCTATTAAAATAAACCTCTTCACAAACCACATCTTTCATCCCACCAAATGGTTTTTTTTGGAATAAAAAAAGCCTGATTGCAAAAACTGATATTTTCACAGACAGTTCGGAAAATATAAAAATTCTGTCTTTTTAACGTTGCAATAGATGGACATTCCTGGTATTTTAAACAATATTTAAATTGAATATTTGACACTTTGGCTTCATGTATAGGATAGGTCACATCATTGGTGATTTCTCAAATCAATAGTGGGAGCAGGCTCCATCTTTGGACCGCTGCCCTGGGTCCCATATGTTGTTGCTGACGTCCAGGGGAAATCAGCACCGGGCACCGCAGGGTGGAAACGGTCCCATCCAGCACTGACCAAGGCAAAAAAGGAATAGAGGAGAAGCAAGCAGATTCTACATGGCAAGGACTTACACTGTACGAATATGCATTCATCATGATTTTTTTTAACATTCCTAATTTGATTTAATTGTGGCCTAAAGGCTCATCTGACTCACCACATCATTGTTAGAGTTGGGCAGGTGCAAAATCAGGTGAATCACTGGCCCGTTGGTTTGAAATGAAGAGGGACATAATAAACTAACACATCCAAACACACTCTCACACACCTCGCACCATGCAATCTAAATGGTTGCTAGCACCACTGATAATAAGTAAATAGACAAATAAATAAACCAATTTGAAATCTTGATGTGATAATTGGAATCTGGTGATTAACAACAAGCAAAAATATACTTTTTATATTTTTGTGAGATTATAAATTTGGTCATTTGACTTTTTTCTGTTCTCAAATATAACAGTTTTGCTTTCTGTAACATTAACATGATATCCTTCCACAGTTAGATTTTTGTCTAAATAAATCAGCTTCAGTTTAAAGGTGGGTAAATACAAAGAGAAAGGGAAATTAGGGATCTTAAATATACTATTGTGCAATCTGAAGAACATCATTTACAGACAATTAAGAATTTATATATAGGCTACTACAAACTACTTTAAGTTTTTTAAAAGGTAACTGACATTTATCATTTTGTCCATTGGCCCCACTGATATCATTATTCAGACACTTTGGTTCACATTGAAGTCTTGATTGAAACTAACTTAAGTTCACATTTCTTTTCCCAGAAGGAGAGGTTTTTTACTGTTTTTATGACATCATCTTTTCGACCAAGTCATTAAATGCAATTAAACGAAAAATCCTCAGACACTTGTAAGAGTGCAGCCATTTGAATATTTAAACCTTTTGGTGTATTGTGGCAGGTTCAGGTCACCGTCAAATCTGTTAATACTGAAATTGTCTTTCTTCCCATCATCCCTCTGTTTCATGATTGGTCCACTTTAGTTTCCAGGCCTCGGAGGACAAGGTGGGAGACACCTTTCTGGTTTTACTTTCTGCTCTAACCTCTCAGTTAGTTCTTTTAGTGAGGAGGGGCGGTGGCTGGCAGAATACTTGATGGCGGAGCGCGTTGCCAAGTCGCTAAATGTCTGAGCACCAGTAAAGCCAGAGACCAGTAAAGCCCACCATCACCAACCCCGGTGCCAGCTGCGCCACGTGGCAGCCAGGCGGACCCTGCCAAAGTGGCCCTTGTGGGAGGGACCCAGTATTTCTTTCCTAATTCACTCAGCATCTGTTCATTATTCTCCGCAGCTAAAGGAGGCTGAGTGTCCAAGCGCGGCCCCGGACAAAAGAGGAGACCTTTTTTTTTCTTCTTCCGGTCACGCACTTTAGCACGAGAGACCGAGGCATGAAACTAAATGTTTCTGCTGTGTTAAAGACTTGTCACTCGCTTCTGCGGCAGCCTTTTAAACTGCGTATGACTTTAAACCCGTGAAACTCACCTGTAGATCCAGCCTCATTTAGATCATTACATTTTAACCCCCAAAAAATT